GGTATGACATGGCCTTCCTGCATCAGAAGCAGAAGCCATCACTTCACTCTATGCTCAGGGCCATTCTGGATAATGCAACCTCTCTCTGTCTCTGAAAAAGATATGTATTTAAAATGTGGCCTTGCAATAGACCCTTGAGGTGAAGGTGGTGTTTCTTTATTTATGCTTAACTCACAGGATTCAAATTCCTTGTCAAGAGCTGGGGTCCAGAGTATGCAGCTGGGGGATAACATGCCTAGCATGCCCAAGGCCCTAGGTTCAACCCCCAGAATAAAAACCAGCCAACCTATTTTTTTTAACTGTTATACACATGTCTGAAACTGGCACTGTGAAGAAGGAAGCATTAAAAACTTTCCCAAACCTCTACCCCGAAACACGAATAACCAACTGCACATCAAGCCTGCCATCACCCTAAAAACACAGCTCCCCTCTCCTGAGTGGCACTAGTCAGTGCCCTCGTCATTAACTCCTTCCCAGTTCCTCTAGTCCTGGTCCATCTGACTTCTGTCCCTTGTGCTTGGTTTAAGGGTTACAAATACACTATAGGAATCAGGGAACTATGCAGATCCATGTGGGAATCCATGTGGTGGGTAGAGGGGAAGAGAGATTAAGGAAGAAGAGGTAACTGAAGGCCGATCATGAATATTCTTGAAGCCAAGCTTTATCCACGGGTGCTGGGACAGCGGGAGGGTTGAGCGAAGGCCATGTGTGCCCCGTTGGGTGGAGAGGCAGGGGGCTGATAGGCTGCCTCTAGAACACTCTTCTTTAAACAGCAGTATGTAGTTTAAGGGGCAGGCCATGCAACCACCCATTTAACACTTACTGGATGTCGAGACTGCATGCCAGGTTCTGTGTTCAATGTCAGCACCCTGGGGCAGATAGATCATGCTGTGGCAGGAGGAGATGGCAGGCTCATTCTAGAATCATGGGGGGAAAGCAGAGGACCAACTTGGGAGAAGCAGTGAGTTAGTGCTTAGTGAGTTATGTCAGTGGGTGCACCAGGGAAAGCTGTCTCCAGGAAGAGATGACTAAGCAGAGGAGCTTGGGGAAGGTGGAGGGAGGAAGTGGTGTAGGCAGAGGGAGCCTCGTGAGGAAGCTCTAATGGTAGACGAGAGGGAGGAAGCACTTAAAAACTGAAAGGAATCCAGTTGGAGAGGAGAGAGAGGCCAGAGATGAGGCCTGGGAGGGGTACTTCCTGTGGCTTCCGTGGCCAGGACGAGGAGGGAACTGTAGCATCTGGACAATGAGAAGCCATAGACAACTCCGAAGAGGGGCAGGTTTTGACCATCTCATCACTAGAAAGGACCTTCTGAGGGCTTGAGGGGATTGCTGAGGGTCAGGAGGAGTGTCCCCCCGCCACCCCCCCACTCCCCCGTGTGTGTGTGTGTGTGTGTGTGTGTGTGTGTGTGTGTGTGTGTGTGTGTGTGTACAGTAACCTAGAGAGAGATGCTGGGCATAGATGTTCAGGAGAAGCATGAAGGCCTTGGAACTAGGATGAGATTCTGGATAGCCAGTGAGAACATTTGGAGTAAATGGATCCACCAGGTGGGGGACCATCCTGGTGAAGGCTAGCATGTCTTCTTCTTTGAACTTGGCAGCTAGTGACAGTATTAGCAGGAGGGACAGAAGCCAGATGGAATGGGGACTGAAGAAGTTGGGAGGGAGGAGGTACTAGGGGACACTGTCTAAGTGTCTCGGGAGAGGGGAGCTGGAGATGACTTGGCTTTTCGTGGTTATGACAGTGGCCTGATGTGTGCAGTTGGATGCTTGTGGCTTAGGGGAGAGATTTCAGAGAGTTTTAACTGCCCCTTCAAAGCATCTAATTCCAGAGAGTTTGTGATGCCTGAGCAAGAGGCATCCCTGCAGGAGGTCCCTGAAAAGATGGCTCTCAAGACGCTGAGCTTGGCCGTTTGGGGTGAGAGTTCCATGAGGGAGTGCCTTCTGATTTCTCTGTGGGGTGAGAAGAGAGGCCCCCAAGGGATGGAGAGGTTACAGGCAGTGGCAGGCTAACGTTATTTTAAGAGGGTGTGGAAATCTCTCCTGTATATGTTAGGGAAGACTACGCCCAGCCTTGAGGCTATATGGATGGACCAGTGCTCCAACAGGGCACTGAGGCTTTGTGAGTTCATGGCTGCCTGGCTAGGCTTTTACAGGACCCTACACCTTACCCAGAAAACCTCTGCATCCTAGTGTGTCTGGTAGATAACCCTGTTGAGCTGTGGCCTTCCAGGGGATGCAGAAGAGGGTTTTGTCCACGTCTTCCCAGCACAACCCTTCCTAGCATCAACTTTCTATCTGTGCCACCAACCAGAGGATTCCCCAGTTCGTGGCACAGATTTCCCATGGACAGAATCGTTCCTACACAAAATGCTAGGGATGTTGCACTGGCTGTGTGAGCACGAGGGAATTAATCACCAGGCCACCTGGATGGAATATGGACCCCCCGCCCCCCAAAGGCCCTTTCCTTTCACCGATCCAGGTAGCCAGCTGTCCTGGAGATTGAGGGACAAGAACAAGCTGCAGGGGTGGTGGTGGTTGGGGGGGGCGACTCTGCAAGGATTCTGTGGGTGGAGGAAGTCTCCAGCAGAGGAGCAATCTTGCTCCACCCCAGCACCTAGCCTCTGCTTCTCTTAGCCTACCTATTTTTGTTTCCTTTTTCTGGGACATCTTGCTATGTTACACACTGGTCTCTGATTCCTGAATCCTCCAGCCTCAGCACCCCCTTCATGGTGGGGCCACACCAGGGCCAGCTGTCAGTCTTTGCTCAGGGCCTGGATTGTGCAAATTGGAAAGGCAAAGTGCTTCTCAAACCTATTCTGTGATAACGGGGCGATGACTGGCTTCAAAGGCACACAGGTGACCTCCATGCAACCTTAGAGAGGCCCAGGGACTGGGCTGCTAGCCAGTGCCCACTCTCGTTCACATGCAGGCACTCCATGGATTGCACTTGTCCTCTCACTTTTTGGAATTGCTCATCCTCCTGCTGGCCTGGATGAGTCCTTTCCCAGTGGGTCCTGGGGCCTTTAGTAACTTATACTTACATTAGCAAGCTCCATGGCACCATCAGGGATAGCTAAGAATCCAAAGCTCTGTGTCTGTGCCCCCTTGTTACCTCCTAAAAACTATATCTAGAATTTACAGGTTCCTGGTGGGGTCCAAGATCCACTAAAATTGTATGGGAACATTTTCACATTGATATATTTTTTGGGAGGAAGGGTTGGTGTCTTTAGGAAGGGGAAGGTTGAAACAGGGTCTCACTCTCCCAGGCTAGTTTTGTTTTGTTTTTTTGAGACATGGTTTCCCTGTGTAGCTTTGAAGCCTGTCCTGGAACTAGCTCTTGTAGATCCAGGCTGGTCTTGAACTCACAGAGATCTACCTGCCTCTGCCTCCCAAGTTCTGGGATTACAGGCGTGTGCCACCACCGCCCGGCTCCCAGGCTGGTTTTGAATAAAAATCCTTCTGCTTCTGCCTCCTGAGTGTTGAATTGTAGACATGCACCACCACACCCAGTTCTAGAATTTGTCTTTTATTTATCAGGAAATATCTGCAATATGAAAGATGTTGGGTAGCTCAGGCTGACCCAACCCTTGTTGTGTATGTGGCAGAACTGGTACAGTGGCTAGGGCAGCATGGACAGAGGTGGGGGTGAGGTCTCCCCTTCACAAGCACCTGTGGGGGTCTGTTCCTACTCCCCCTCCTCTGTGTTCCACATGCCAGCAGCTGTCCCATGATACTGACACAGCCACAGTCCACTTCAGACCTGTGAACTACAGAGGAGCACAAAGCATTTCCTGTGATTAACGTGAGTAATAATTGCCCTTTTATATCGGTGAGAGCTTGGTTCCAGGACCCCACTGAATGCCAAAATGCATAGCAAATCCCTTAAACCAAGTGGCGGACTATTTACACAGAATCTGTAAGAATCCTCCTACATACTTTGAACTGTCTCTAAATACTCAGAATGCCTAATCCAAAGCAAATGCTAGGAAGCTGTTAGATTGTTTAGGGAATTATGGCAAGGAAAAAAAGTCTGTAGCTGTTTAGTATTGGTGGGATAATTTTCCCAACTATACCCCAACCGGTGCTGGAATTTAGAAGCCAACCTGAGGTGTCCTGTCATCCAAGCAGCCTCCTATGTGTCAGAGGGGCCCTTCGTATTTCCAGATCCCAAAGGGTAAATAATGAAGAGAATGGGGTCTGCAGTCATGTGCCCGAGTTCACATCCTAGCACCATCCCTTGCTCATGACCTGGGACACCAGCCTCCTTTTTTCTCCTCTGATACATGGGGCACCTGTTAGGGTAGAATGAGGATCAGCTGAGCTGCAGTATTTAGGACAGTGACTAACGGGCGCTCTCCTCAGTGGGGAGTCCTGCACTGTTGAGGCAATGTGTAGAGGTGATACTCTGGACAGGGAGCCTCGGGAATGGTCTGGAACACTAGAGCAAAGGGCCTGGTTTTGTCTGTGGATGATGGGAATGACTTGTCCAGGACAGAAGGGCTAGAAAGCAGGTGGGCTGTGGTGCCACTGGCCAATTAGAACGATGCAGGCTCCCTGTCCTCTGGGGAGCCCCGCCACTTTTCTCTTCACACTGTCCTAACTCAGGGCCTTTTCATGTAACCACTCCTTCAATTTGGGATTCCCACTTGCCCCCCCTCTCCCCCCCCACTCCTGTCAGATGGCAAGATGGTCCATTCTCTTACCCCTTCTTTTATCTGGTATCTTCCCCTAGAATGTCAGCCATGCACAGACAGAGGTTTGCTCCTTGTAGTAGCCCCAGGGGCCAGCACAAAGCCTGGCACACTGTATGCTTAATGAACACTTGAGTGGATGAAGAGTTGGGGGGCGTGGTATTGGTAGTTCATTCACCGTTACTTCAGCTCCGGGCAGGGAGCTGTGCCTCCCCATCAGCCACGAAGCCACAAGAGTCTGACTGATAACGACTTCTGCTCCCTCAGGTAATCAGCTCTTGTGACACTCCTTCCTCTGTTCATCCACAGGGTTACTTCCTGCTTTATTGGATGTCCTGCCATCGCCCCCCCAACCCCGCACCCCAGTTGGTGCTGGGTCTTCCTCTTCAGGAACCTCCACACCAGGAATGACTTCCTCCCTACTGTTACAACTGCTCTAGCTGTGTGGCTTGGGCCAGCTGCCGGACTTCTCTGAGCCTTGTGTTCTCCCTGAGTGCAAAGCCATCTCAGACCATAAAAGATGATGTGAAGGCAATACCACCAACTGGAGCACACTGGTTACTTATTTGCGTACAGAGGAGGGGGAACTGGAGAGGAGGAAGGGGCCTCAGAGAGGTGATGGGTTCAAAAAAAAAAAAAAAAGAAAAAAAAAAACAAAGGTTCAGGGACGGTGTCAGGAGTCCAGGGATGTGGAAGGGATGGGGGTGGAGGGAGGGGCGGCACAGAAGGGCATGGTCTTGGAATTCAGCTCTTCAGATTGATGGAGAACGGGGTCTCTCCTGGGCCCCTGGAAGGGGCGCCCGCCCTGCCTCCTGCTGGCTGCAGAACCCAGGCTCTGAGGATTGACCAGAGGTACCGGGCCAGGCAACGTCCGCGTCTCTTTAATTTCCTCCAGGCTGGTCCGCCCTACCCGATCTTCCCTGCAGCGCCCTGACTGTCTGAGTGGAGGCCTGTTGGAGTGGAAGCCTAGGACCCCTCCCCCGGGCCCAAGGACTAAGGCACCAGGTGGCTTGAAGCAGGGCGGCGGAATACGGACTCACAGAGGGGACACGGAGGACGGACGCAGACAGGCGTGGTGGGCATTGGGCATGGGCGAGGTTCCAACCGGCTCTGGGTGCGTCCGGGATGCGGGAAAGCCCGGTCGCCCACCGGCGAAGGGCTGTGGCTTGAGGACCGGCGCTCACTTGCCGCCCTTGCGCGACAGGCACCGCGGGAGGCAGGAGAAAGTCTGCTTGACTCGTGCTAGCAGCGGCAGCGGACGGTGGGCATCTCGTGGCGATCGCGGCATCAGGCGCTGCAGGGTCCCTTCGGAAGCGGCGGCGGACGCTGTGGCCGACGTGGCGGAGGTCGCAGAACCCTGGCGACAGCGCCTGTAGAGAGGCAGCAGCGTGCGCAATTCCTCCTGGTCTCTGAACAGGCTCTCCCCGAAGCGCTCCTCCAGCTGCCGGCGAAGCTGGGGCGGGCAGGAGGCCACCAGTTTGCCACCTTCGCCCTCGCGCCCTGCCCACACCTAGCTCTTCTAAGCTTCCTCCGTCTTCGTTCTAAGACTTTACAACACTCACGGAGGCGCCTAGCTTTACCTTTGAGGTCTTAACCTCTCCCTAAACTCCACTTATCCTTGCCACTGTCTTCCAGACTTGCCCGCTGCAAACTGCATTAAACCACCTTCCTTAAAGCCTCTGTTCCCCACCCTGGACTCAAAAGACACCACACACCCAGGGTCTCTTCCTTGTCGGCTCTTGGCCTAGGGCAGCCTTGGAGTCCCTTGTACCACCTTCTGAGTACCTTCCAGCTTTCCATTCCTTTTCTCTATTCCATTCCTAGTTGGCTACGTGGTCTCAAGCTGATATTTTCATGGGCAGGCTTCCCAGAAATAAGAGAAGGGACTCCTTTGGCCCCAGAAAGACTCTGGTGGAATAGGACACAGAACCCAAGTGGACAAACTCTGGACTGCCTTGTGTTGGGGACACCAGTGTTGGTCACAGTCTAGTCTATAAACATCTGAATTCTCAGTTAAAAAGACAAAATGAAACCTGAAAACCCAGGCCAGGTGTGCTACTATGGTGCAATGCCAGTGTTTGGGAGTCTGGGGCAGGAGGGTTGTCAGTTTGTGATCAAAGTGAGAATGGAGGGAGGGGAGAGGCGCAGGGAGGTTATCCTCCAATGGGTGCTGAGGTCAAGGATGTTTCCCAGCCCACACAGCCCCAGCCCTGCACAGCCCCAGCCCTGCACAGCCCCAGCCCTGCACGGCTCCTACCTTCTGGGAGTTTCCCCAGCCAAATTCCTCAAGCTGCTGCCTAAAGCCTGGGTTTGGGTTGGCGATGGGCCTGTTGGCCTTGATGGCTTCAAGTACTTCCCGCCAGCCTAGTCCAGTCACCGTCATCACATAGGCGACCACGATGGTGGTACTTCGAGATATACCTGCAAAGCTGGATCCCAGGCCACCCCAGGCTTCAGGAAAGTCCCACTCCCGTATGTCCTCCCTGCCGGGTCCCTTGCCTCACTGGAGCTTCCCCATGCTTGCTCCTTGAACTCCAAACGTGGGGAACCTGACTGGCTCTAGCGCTAAGGTTTGGCTTTGGCATCTCCCTTCCCTCTGACCAGTACTCTTTACCCCACTCTAAGGGATTGGCTGAAACATCATACATTTCATTCAACAAACTTCTCCCAATCCTGTTTTTGTTCAGGCACTGGGGTATGATAAGGAATAAAACTCCTGGCCTCTGCTGCCCTGGAGCTTACAGTATAGTTTGGAGAAACAGCCACTAACCAAAGCAGCAATTTCAGATACTGCTGATTGCCTGAAGACAAGACGAGTCTGGGACTTGAAGGGCCATATAAGCAGAGAGGTTTCTTTAGTGGGGACAGGAGAGGTGTAGAGAAGAGGCTCCCTAGGAAGTGACATCAAGCCAAGTCTTGAAAGATAGGGTTAGACAAGAATGTTGTGGGGCTGGAGCAATGGGTGAATTGTGAGTGCTTGTTCGGTGTGTGCGAGGTTGAGTTCAATTACCCACAATATGAGATAAAACAGAACAAAATATTCTAAGTAGTATGTACAACAATCACGAGTAGAAGGTAGGCTGTGGATTTGAAGATGGGGAGGTTAGGATGGCTGAATACAAGAAGAGCTAGGCCCTCATTTCCTCTCTCTCTCTCTCTCTCTCTCTCTCTTTATTCCAAGAAAGGGTTTCTCTGTGTAGCCCTGGCTGTCCTGAAACTCACTCTGTAGACCAGGCTGGCCTCAAACTCACAGAGATCTATCTGTTCTCTTTCTTCCAGGTGCTGGAATTAAAGGTATGCACCACCACCATCTGGCTAGAGAGCTAGGTCTTAAGAGAGCTAGTCCCTAGGCCCCAGCCAGAGCCCTTGGTGAGATACGTTATGGTATCCTTTGGGCCAGAGACACTGGAGAAGACTCAGTCCAAAGTCCTAGCCATGTACTCCTGCCTCCAAGTAGAGAGAAATGAGGCTAGAAGGAATGGGTTACCTATGTGACTCCACCTACCTCCCACAATAGCCCTGTCAGCATGTCACTTTATAAAGAAACTGAGTATCAGAAAGCAGCTGCTGGGCTATGCCATCTAGCTGCCAGGAGTGATGAACCTCTGAATGGTCTGTCCCGATGAGGAACTGACTGTCAGTACTGTGACAGTCTGGAGGGAACCTGCCCCACAGGATAGGCATGAGTGTGGGGAGTACACCCTTCAGAACTCACCAGTGTACAAGGCAGTTACCCCCGTTGAGGCGGCAACTGTGGATAAAGTTGATGCATTCTTTGAAGTGCTTTTTGCTAGAGAAGAAAGCAACAGGGAAAGGAGTTGGGGGCAGTACTCTCAGGAGCTGCCTCCTCCTCACTTACAGACACCAAGGGACAGAGAACCCTAGGTCCTTAGTGTGGCCAGCATGTACAACGAGTGGAGACATTGCTCCGGAAGGAGACAGCATAGCAGGCAGGAGGAGAGGCTGGCCCCATCATTTAGGTAGGCGCCTCTCCAGTAGGCGTGAAGAACAAGCTTCCACTATGGGTGTGTTCTGGCTGTTCAAGGACATGGGTGTGGGGAGAGTGAGGTGCCATTTCTCTGGGGTCTGCAACTGGAAGATCTGGAACAATAGCAGTGGGCTGGGAGAAGAGCCCCAAAAGGTCAGGCTTCAGTCTGAGTCCATCCTAAGCTCAAGATACTGGAGCTAGTAAACCAAACAAAACTCCCATTTTCCAGAGTCCCTGCCATTACTAGGTCCAGTCCCACATCTTCAACTCGGGTCAGCTCATTTTTGCAAACCTTGACTCATCGCATCCTGCCGTTATGTAGCTGAAGCTCAGAGAGGATAAATGATTTTTCCAAGGTCACACAACAGTAAATGGCAAAGCCTGGCTGTGAACCAGGTGTCTTAACTGCAAGCCAGGATGCAGGTCAAGTCTGACCCTCAAATCTGCTGTACACCTGGTCCCAAGAGACAGGACACTGTCTCCAATCACAGGGGAGGAGGCTGTGGCTCTGGAGAGAGCTGAATAGGTACATGCTGCAAGGGCATGGCGGAAACAGACTCAGTCTGGCTCTGGGTGCCCTTTGACAGCTTTCTGGCCTGAATACTCTATGCCCTCACTCCCACCCCAGGGGCAGCTCTCCATCAGCTGCTGGCACGTTCAGGGGAACTTACATGGGTACTTCAGGAGCATCGGCCACTGAGATCCGAAGGTACTTGATACCCTGCAGGGGTGAAACACATACTCAGATGGTGGGGCCTTGACTGCACCCCTCCCCCAGCCTGAGCTGCCAAGGCCAGTGTGACCCCAACCCATTCCTGTCCCTCTCTGGGCCACCATTGTTTTCCTGTCCACAGAGAGCAGGTACTATCTGTATGGACCTGCCAGCTCTCTCTGTGAAGATGGTGTCCTCACCCATAGAGGACATGGGCATGAGGACTTTGAAGCTGGCATGGTGCCCCTTCAAGGACTCGCCTCCAGGCAGGGATTGCAAAGTTATACAGTGAAAAGGGCGGAGCTCATTTGTCTTACAGAGTATGAACTATGAAAAGAACAGTCAGGCACAGTGATCACACACTTGTAATCCTAGCACTCAAGAGGCTGAGGCAGGATATCTGACAGGAATTTAAGGCCAGCCTGGTCTGAGTTCAGAGGCAGCCAGGAGCCAGCTAAGGCTACATGGGCAGAACACCACAGAACAAAAACAAATCAGGAGAGCTCTGAGGGCACCTGAACTGGCAGACCACTTTAGCAAGCAATCCACCCACCCACCCACTACCACCACCACCAGCAGCAGCAAACAGCATCAACAATAGCTTCATGAACTAGTCTGATAGGCTTTGCTTCCTGTGGAAGCTCAACACAAGGGTATTAAGGATATTTCTGTCCACGCCCCAAAACCTTTACTGCCATTTTGCAAATATTTTGCTCAATGCTTTGTTATTTCACACAGGCCTTTCCAGGTGCCTTGTCTGCTTCTGGCTGTGGCTCCTAAAGGACACAAGACCTGTCCTCTTGTGTCCAGGGAGATTTGTCATACCTCTCTCTAACACTTCCAAGGTCATGGAATCCCATGTTGTTAGCAAGATCTGCAGTTTCACTTTGCAGTGTGTTTGGCTGTGGGTTTGCCTGGTAGCATCAAACCCTGCCTGCTGAATTCCCTGATGGAAGGCATGGCTGCTGGTGAGGTGTTGGGGCAGGGCTCTTTTCCTAAGCACTCATTTCTTTAATAAACACATTAATAACTTGGAGAGCCTGCCCGTGCAATCTGTTCAGACTACACACTCCAGTGCTCTAGAACGAGCTGCCCTAGAATGCAAAATCAGATTGCACTGGCCTGGAAATTTCTTCATAGACAATGAAATTCATAGATTATTGTCAGATGCCCTTAGAGATCATTAAATTTGATAGGCAAACAAACAAGCAGAGAGGGTGAAAGACCCTGTCCAAGGTCATCCCAGCAAGTTTGTGGTGGATTCTGTCTTTTTTTTTTTTAATTTGAAAGATTGATTTTATGTGTATGAGTGTTCTGCTTGCATGTATGTATGTGCACCATTTGTGCACATGGGAGAGATCTGCCCATCAGATCTCTCTGGAATTGGAGTTTACAGTGTGAGCTGTCATATGGGTGCTGGGAACCAAGCTTGGATCTTTTACAAGAACAAATGCTCTGAACCACTGAGCCATATCTCCAGCTCCCTGGAGCCTGCTTTTTGTTTGTTTTGTTTTTGTTTTTAAATCTCAGATCTCCAGAGCCTTTCAACCTACCAGTCCTTCTCTGTAATAGATGTAGTAGACACAGACTCTAAGACAAAGGGTTCTTTTTTTTTTTTAAATGGGAGTGTGTGTATGTGTACCTATGAATACACATATGTATGTATGGAGGAGTGGCTATATACATTTGTGTGTATGCATGCCAAAGTCAGGTGTCCACTCTGTCACCCTCTGCCTTATTAGCCCAGACAGGCTCTCTCACAGAACCTGGAGATGTTTGTCCCCAGAGATTCTCCTACCTCCACCCCCTCTACCTCCAGCACCAGAGTTATAGGCACATAGGGCATGCTTGGCTTTTATATGGGAGCTGGGGATCGGTAGAGTGTGCTCTTAGACACCAAGCCATCTCCCTAGCCTGGGATAAGAGTATTAAAAACCAAATGTATCTTTTTTTCAGTTATATTTTGTTGAGCATCTGTATGTGGCTCAAAGAAACTCAGTGAAGTCAGTACTATTGTAACATTTCCATTTAATAGATGGTGACTGGGGCTCAGCTTGTCTTGTGCATAGGGTCACAAAGAGAATAAATGGTCGGTCACCTGACTCCAGCACCAGTTGTCTTACTTTCTTCCTTTGGGTCCTAACACCCTCATCCCTTCCTTAGAATTCCATGAGAGCAGAAGCAATCATCAATGAGACTGTGTGTTACAGGATGCAGAAATGTCTTCCATATCTGGCAGGCCCCCTCACCCCACAACAGCCCTCTGGGGCAGTCGGGATCAAAGGCCCCAAGGAGCTGACATTATGGCCCAAGGTTACACAGCAAGACCCAGAACCTGGGATTTTCTGTTTGTAATAATCCAGACACTTGGCAATTGGAAGGATGCCCAGGTAGATGCAAAAAGGATTACTAAGGAGACCTGCCTTTAGGGCTTAATATTAAGGATTGACATGAGATCGCCAGGGTCAGATGGCCTATGTTCAGAGTCTAGCTGGCCAGCTTCTTCACTGTATGGCTTTACATGAGTCCATTTACCTCTGTGGCCTTAGTTGCCAAACAGGGATGATAAAACATTCCAGTGAAGCTGGATGAGTCAGCTGGGGTCAAGATGGTAGTCCAGGGGCTGTGGCTCAAGAATAGAGCATTTGCCTAGCATGCTTGACACTCTGGGCTCTATTTCCAGTACTAGAAACTAGGGATGGGGTGGGGAGCAGCCCTGGACCTACAGCCTCCCCTCCCCGCCTATCAGCCTGGAGTGGAGAGCTTGGAGTACCTGCAGTTGAGGTTGAGGTGATTCATGGATAGAGATGATATGTGTGATCTTATTCCGGCCCAACTGATCTGGGTCTTTGGCATCTGAAAGAAACAGGATGCTTGAGCCAAATTGGCATGTGTTACTAATTTATTCCCAGTGACCAAGTGCAAAGAAAGCCAGGGCCCAGCTTGCCTCCTCATCCCTCCCTTCCAGCTTGGCCCACCCTCTGCTGGCTTGCCTGTTCCTTCGCCACCTCTGGGGTACCCGTCAGAGACAGGCTTGTGCTGTTCTTCCCATCCCAAACACCTATCTCCAGAGCTCATCCTTGGGCTCAGCAATTCTACTTCTAGGAATCTATAGAAAGCTGCACATGGAGGCTGAAGTTCTCTGCAGCACTGTTTATTGCAGAAACAGCTGAATGTTTGGAACAACCCAATGTCCACCAAAAAGGGACAGAACAAAAAGTATAGTACAATTGTTCTTTATACTCCTGTGCAGCAATTAAAATGACCCCTATGAGCTGAGAGATGAGGATGTCCACAATATATGTTTTAAGTGGGACACACCCCTTCCTGAACGCATGCAGGGTGAGGTTCCATTTGTTTTAAATATTACCTCTGTATCTACAATATGTGACAAATACTCGGGACTACACCCCATGGGACTGTCAATGGTCATCTCTGGGGAGTGAGATATACCAGCACATACCTTTTATAACCAGAATAAATCACACGTAGTCCTTCTTATTTCCATATACCTATTTTCTCATTCAACAAATATTCCCCATATACCTGCCATGTGACAGCTTTGGCTGGGCACTGAGTCTGGGGTCAACTTCATGGCTCTTGGTCCTTGTGGAACTTACATACACCTAAGCTGAATCCTCTCAGAAATCAATGTGGTAGGAGCTGCTGAGGAGATTCTTAGGGAGGAAGGAGCCAGGGCTGTGGGGTGGGTCACCTGAGTCTTGTCTGTGATGTTTCCACCTTGGGTCCCCAGACCTTGAGCCAGCCTGTCTCAGCACCTTTTCCACCACAAAGTCAAAGGTCTATGTTACCATCTGGCTCCCTACCTCCAGCCTGGAGGCCTGTGAAGGCACAGATGGGGAGGGCACTGCCTCTCCCCCATGGGAGGTTGTGAAAGGGATAGAGAGAGACAATGGCAGAAACCTGCAGGCTGGCCACCCCCTGGCTTGAGGCCGCCTGGTGGTTCCACTCAGGACTCTGCTTAGAGGAGCTGGTCCAGCTCCCTCTTCAGAGGAGGCTGTGGGAGAAGAATCACCAGCTTTCTTGAGGGAAGTCATACACCCAGACAGACTTCAACAAAAACCTTATGGAAGAGCCCTTGGGGGGCTGGTGGGCCTTATGCTGAGGAGGGGGGTCAAGGCTCAGACCCTGAGTCCTTTGTGCAGGCCTTTAACCTGTTGGTGAACCTTGGGGGAAGGCTGAATTGGGAGGCAATGTCAGTGATCTTCCAGCCTGGGGACTCTCTGCCCTTGCACCCCCTTATCCTCCATGGGCTCTTTCTCCTCCCAGCTTGGCTTCATTCCCTCCCCCACACTCCATTCTTGAGAGCATCTAAGTTGTGTGGGCCTGAGTGTGAATGGCGGACAGAGGCCTGGGACAGGCAGAGTGCCATGGCCTTGTGACAGAGTGGAAAGTGCTCACCAATGAAGTTTCCAAGGTAGAGTCCAGGAAGTACCTGGAGGAAGGACAGCAGGGGTCAGGGGGCGGGATGCACCTCTACCCACCCATGGTAGCTGGGGCCCGCAGCTCTTCTCTATTGGAGATGGGACCCCAGGAAGCCATCTCCCTGTTAGGTCTGGGTGCTGCGTGGTGGGTTTGGGGCTCTGGCAAGAATGCAAGAACAGGCAATCAAATTAACCACACGAGGGGCCAAGGAGCTCAGCCTGGGGACAGGTAGAGGAGGAGGGATGGGTCGAAAGTCCAACATAGAGATCAGGAAGGGGCGACCGTGTGGGTCCAGGACAGAGGGGACCGAGGCGGGCACAGGGAGAAGGCCATGCGGAGCAGAGCTGGGAGGATAGAGAGAGACACCAGAGTCCCGGAATCTCAGACCCACACAGACATAGGGAGGCAGAGGGGAAAAGGCGCTCCGGGAGAGGCCAGCGAAAGACACAGCAAGAGTCAGGAGTCGCGCAGAGGACAGGCAGGCACGGGCAAAGACAGAAAGGCAGATCAGTCTCGGAGGGCAGCGTGACAGTGATGTGGCGGAAGGTCAGCGACCCGTCCAGGGCCCGGCCACGGGGCAGCGACGGCCAGGCGCGGCGGGGGCTCCCCCTACCTTGGTCATGCCATTCCCCATGATCACGAGGCCGGTTGGCCGGGGGCTCCCCCAACTCGGCGCCTGGAAAGCGCTGGATTCACAGCTGCCTGGCTGGCCTAGGACCAGAGCATGCAGCCTGAC